CCAATCTTTCTTTAATGTGGTAATCCAAATGCAAATTTATACCAAAAACTATTAGTAATGCTTGTGAACCATGAAAAGTAAAAGCAAAAAAACCTTTTGCTAAAAAAATGGAGGCGTCCCTCAATGTTTAAGATCAAAGAACCATGTTTGGCTTCATGGTTAATATATAAAGACATTTTGATTATATCCCCGGTGTTCAAATATCACTACTAGAACATGCAATCAAACTTAGTTTATTTGAATTACAACATTCTAAACACACACAAATAGTAACACAAGCCCACGTTATTTAATAGTTTTGAAAGTAAATTTTGTTAGAAAAAAAGTTCTCATAGACATTTTATCAAACACATAGAGTGCGCCATCAATTCATCATATTCAAGTTTTCCATCTGCACATCATGTACAATGGTTTCTGAATATCATTTATTACGCTAGATTAAGAAGAAAGAATTAAGTGATGGATCAAACTAATACCCACATTTAGAATCAAGAAAAAATTGAACAAACAATAAAATATAAGAAGCCCATATTAAAGAACGGACCTGGATAAACAAAAAATTGTAGAAGAAGAGCAATATCAATGTCAAGGATGACACATTTGAGTCAGAAGAAAAGAAGAATCATCAATTTGGGGTTAAATCGTAGACGGAGGTAGAAGCATGCCATGAGTAACGATAAAGGAAGCAAGAAGAGAAGGAAGCAACATCGTTTATAGTGGGGTTCGTTGTCGGTGGGTAGAGGACAAATGAGACACATCCAATGGTGGTGACATCTAGGGTTTTAGATCGAGAAAATGGGAAATATAAGAAGTCAGCATATCAAATACCTATTTACAAGCAGAGTATATCGTTGATTGATTCCAGATTTTTAGGAAAAAATTAGAGTGCAGGGACGAAAAAATAGGCAAATTGAATTGCGCCGATTCAATTTGAAGTGAAGGGTATTTATATAAATCGAGCTGAAGAAAAGAAGCGGGAAAACCTTATTTTGGGGGTCTGGAAGACTGACACGTGGCACGATTCTACTTATTTATTAGGATAGAGGATTATTAAGTGGTCTTTATATAAAATTGAAAAAATGACAAATGAATGAGTAATGACATAATAAAAATGATATTAATTTATGAGAGTATTTGTTGGAGTTTAAATTACGATATTAAAGGACTTTTAGTGCAGCCATCCAGTGTTATTTTTCCTCTTTGAGTATTCAAGTTATGTGGTGAACATAAATGGAATTAAAGATAGGTGAAGAGTATATTAAATTTACCCCAATAACTACTACGAACAACTTTGGTGGTCATTAACTTAACATCGATTGTTCAACAATGGAACAACTTTGGTTTTGAACTTTTTGAATACTTAATCCTCTATTGCGTACATCATACGTGTGTCTATGTTAGATATTCTTGAATATCTCATAGAACCACTTTTATAAGATATTCATAAAGTATTAATATTTTAACAATAATCCAAGCTTAAATTTATAATTATTTCACTTTTGCCTTAATCAACAAAAGTCAAAGGCATCACCAACTACATCAAAAATAATATGCATTTGGGTTATGTAGTTTTATAATTTCAAACAATATTAAACAAGCATCCGTTGCTAGCCTACTAATAACGTCAATAAAATTTCATGATGGTTTTCACAAAATTAAGCTTAAGATAGTGAAGTATACCTTCAAAACTTGAAGGTTTTATGAATTGGACTTCAATTTCACCAAATGTGATGAAGATGTTTCAATTGTTGTTATGGACCAAAAAATTTCTATTTTTGGCACAATTTTTTTTTTGTTGCAAAAATGACAAAGTCGAAGGAATGTGAATGGAATGCCACGAAGGAAATCCTTCGAGGTCACGTTCAGACAATGGCGAATGGAATGCCACGAAGGGAAAGAGTTGAACTCCCAAGACCAAGAATCAAAATCCCAAGGTCAAGAAGGGAATGTCAGTCAAGAAGTCCAATCCAAGAGATGCTCCAGCGAAACAAGGACCGGATAGGTCAAAGTCATCTTAATGACCGACTTCAAGTTCAAAATCAAGTGCTGAGGCACCCATCTGATCGAACAAGAAATGGGTTAAGCCCAACTACCGATGGGTACCGAAGGTTCAATCTCCTAAATCTCCTAATGACTATAATATTTCTTCATCCTCTGTTTGTGATAAATAAGATATGTCATGGGAAAGGGTACCTTGTAAAGATGACAAAGGTTTGTTGGTGGTGGCTGCTCCTGACATATGATAGGGGACATCTCTCAACTGTACAACACTCAGAACTTTGTTCGAGAGTATGCGTCCTTTGCGGGAAAGGAAAGAAGGGAAGAAAGGAAGGGATCACATGGGGTTAGTGCTTAATGACATAAAGAATTTTCGGATCTATTCTGAGATTATGTGTGTTCTCAAACCTTCTAGATGCAAATTTAATCGGTGAATTCCGGTTTACGTTTTCGTCTCAATACTCTTGAGTTTATCTTACATTGATTCGTTTTGAAAACAATCTTTTATTTTCTTCTAGTTTTTCGTTAGTAAGTATTGTTTGGGAAATGATATCGAGAAAGTGATAACGGGCAGTCTAAAACATGTGTAAAGGACTTAATATGAATTGTCTAGACTTTGTGATCAATGTGCTGGTAGGCATGAAGGATTTAAAAGTATGGATTTGGATAGGATTGTTTGGACTGACCATACGACGCTCGGGTAGATTGAGCAGTGAGATAAACACAAAAACCTACAACATACACTAAATTAATACACATCTAGAACAGTGGTTCAAATTTTCCTTGATGTACGGACTTATGTCCTTAATTCTGGTTCTGATAAGGCGACTGGGGGTTCTGATAAAGTAGGTCTGTAGGAAATTATTTTCTTGCTTTCTATCTGTCAGTCCTATGTTGCTTCCTCTGCGTGATCAGAAGATCTGACTTGGGATACAGCATATGCAACATTCTACCTCTCAATCCCTCTATCCTAGTTAGCCATATGTTGTCCCCTCTACGTGATTGAAAGAGATCCGACCTGGGACACAACATACGCATCTATCTCTAAATCTGACTTCCTCCTTAATAATTGTCTACTCACCTAAAGTAAGGAGTCCTTAGGAATTTCTTGATAACCAGGGTATATCGGGAATTGGGGAACATGTTCTAGTGCAACTAAAATTGAACCATTTAAGAGGTTTCCTGTAGATCTCGTTGCTTAATTTAAGTGGACAACAATACCCATGGTCATCGTCAGCAATATAGTTTACTTAGAAAAGTTTATCGATATCCTTCGTGTTTAAGTGGACCACAATATCGGATATTGACCAGATCTATTCATGAAGGTGAAGGTACCGATAAACAGGTTAAGACTGTCTCACAACTTTGATCCCAAACATTTTTGTTTTTGTTAAATTTGTTCATAGTATTTTCTCTATGCACAAATTTAGGGGGAGAATTAAAAAAATTTCAAAAATCAAAGAAAAATCAGACAATTTCAAAAATCAAACAAAAATCAGAAAATTATAAATCCAAAAATAGTGTTATTTCTATTTTGTTTCTGTTCTAAGTTTTCTTTTATCTTGAAAAGTAATTTCAGGTGTGGATGAAACTCGTGGAGACTGTATCGAGATTTCTGAGCCAAAGCTTCATCTGTTAGCATCGAAGAATTCTCATTCGAAGGAGCAAGAAATGAAGATTATTCTTTCAAATTCAATCTTTCAACCCTAGAAGCAAGGTGAAACTGCACTTGAAGATTATGTGACAGATTGCATTGAAGCCTGCTCAATCAATCTGCTACTATGTTAAACCTGCTGAAGTGATCCAGCAGATTTGTTCTATCTAAAGATTCTCAAGCTGAAAGCGCTATCTTTCAAGAATCTTTTTATCAAGCCTCCTCACCCAATGTGCGTTCAATGCCAAAATTTTGAAGAAAAAGCCCAAACTGCTCAAGATGAAGTCATTCATGGAAGATTTATATGTTCATCCTGATGCTGTGAAGAAATCGAAGATAAATGTTGAAGCCAAACTCCAACTGAAGATTAACAAGAAAAGTTAGTTACTCTTTAGGGGGAGCTTGTTGGGTCAATTAAGAAAAGAAAACTATAAACCAAGGGGGAGATTGTTGGGTCAAAATTATGGTTTATACTTTACTTTTTTAGGAGAATGTATTTTATGTCTAGAACCGTAAACACCTCAGTGTTTACGGCCATATATGTGTTTACGGTCTGTGTTTACGACCGTAAACCCATTTACAGCTCATGTTCACCAAGCCTATATATATAGGTGTTAGGGGTGAGGAGTCGTGTGTGAGACATAGAGAGCACATTGTAGAGATAGAAACTAGAGAGAAGAATAGTGTGTGTGAGAGAATCTATTGTAAGGAGCATCAATCATATTATCAATACATACAGGATTCGTCATCTTCTTCTTTTCCTTCTCTTCTATTCACTACTAGAAAAACAGCCTTTTACGACGCTCATTGCGCATCGTAAAAGGCTCAGACGACGTGCAAATGCGCGTCAAGGAAGGCCCTGTCATAAAGAGAGACGACGCGCATTTATGACGGTTATTTACGACGCGCAATTACGACACGCAATGCGTATCAAGGAAGGCCCTGTCATAAATGAAGACGAAATGCATTCGCGTGTCGTAACCTTACGACGCGCGTGTTAATGACACGCAATGTGTATCAAGAAAGCCCCTGTCAAGAAAGGACATGTCATAAATGAAGATGACACACATTTTTGCGTATCGTAAATTTAAATATTTAAATATATATATATATATATATATATATATATATATATATTTATATATTTATTAATTTTTAAATTAAATTTGCATTTAATGTGTCATAATAGAAATAAAATACCATATACAAAAAAATACAATCCATTGAATAAACTTTAATGTCATACAATTCTATTTCTTACAATATATAAATTTGCATTCATCTAATCTACTCTATGTTTCATACTAACAATTGAAATGAAGAATACAACACTTGCATTTTCAGCATCTTATCTCTTTCGGCTTGAGCTTTCTTTTCCACTTCTAACTCGAGAGCTATTCGCTTTCATCAACCCTGTAAACACAACACAAAATCACTTGTCATTTTCATTCGCTTTCCAATTTCCGTTGTGTGTTTTCCTATTTCCTTAGTTTGTGTACAATGGAGTAAGCAAGTGTGTATTGAAGCACCTTCCATGTAATAGTACCCCCTTGACCAATACTAGTATCAGAACATAAAGCACCTTTCTGCACAAAAAACAACAATAAATCAACAAAGAGTCAACATTATTTAAAATACTATATGAACCTTCTCAAGTGATGCATATGGACCAAGAATCCCCTGAATTACAATTTACAATTTACAACAAAAACACGAACTGATTGAGTCAACTTTAACATATGACATATCAATGTGTTAAGGATTGAAGAGATTAAATCAAACCTTACTTTGATGACAAACCCAATTCAGTGTCACCCGATTGGAAAACACGCAAATATATATCGTCTCATTTCACCTCTAAAATCAACAAATTCAAATGACCATGGTTTGGACCTAATAACATGGGAATACAAAAATACAAATAATATTTAATAACATTGTCCCAAATATAAAACAAAAACAAGAATTAATATTTGTTGAAGCCTACTCACTTTGGGACAAACGTAATGTGACAATTGAGTAAAAAAGATCATAATAGAGTGAGCCCACTTTTATATATTTGTGTCAACTGACATTGATCAAATAGCCACTCATATATGATAACATATCAATATATGATAATATGATATGATATAATGCCGACTCACTTTTACCTTTTACCTTTTACCGATTACCATACTAAAAGTCATACACCCCACCCATGCAAACCTGTAAACACCCGAGTTCACCACCAACAGGTAACAAAATACCGTAAATACCCCTCGTGACAACACATAAGGGAAACACAGAGCTGTTAGTATCTTCATCACAATCGAGATCACAATCTCCCGCAGCATCCAAACGCCCTGCAACCGAGAGAACCCGTTTTCTCCTACCCTCTCGAATTTCATATGTGAATTGCATTCTGATGTACAAAATAAGCTCATCAGATAACTTAATAATTATTTTATAAATAAATCCAAGAAGATGAGAAATAAAGGACATGTTTGCGTGTCCTTATCTTTTGTAGTGCATACTGATATTTATATCTCCCACACCATCAACAATGGATTGCTTTTCATCATCCTTTTTCATTGATTCCTTCTTCTGTAACTCTTTCACTTTGCGATATTCATCATAGTGCACCTTTCTTTTCTCCCTAAAGCTTCTTGCACTCTTCCCACCTTCATCATCTGAGTCCTCATCATATCATGAGTTTAATTTAATTTTTTTTTTAATAAAAGAAAAGCAAAAGAGTGAAGATGAAGGAAGTAGGAAGAACCTAGATCATGATCCATGACATCTGCTTCATCTTCATCATCTGAAGATGTCCATCCAGAATGGGAGTTACTGTTTCTACTAGAAGATGCCATCTCATTTAGTGTTGAACGAATTGCATCAGCATTCAGTCTGATGTTGCTGTTATCATCTCCTTCAAGGAAACTATCAGAGCCCCCAATAGGAGATAAAGATCCTACAGTAAGTCAACAACACTTGAATTAATTTACATAACAAATTAATAATTAATTTAAATTTAATGGAATGTGGGATATGTATAATACCATCAGTATCATGCATCATAGGATGATATGGAGTTTTGGGTTCTGTGATTTTCTGTCTTACATGTTTATTTGCTTCAATTTCACCAAGGTTGGCTTCATCCCATCTAAAACCTCTCCTACGGCTTTTTAAACAACAATAAAAAAAATATTAATATTATTTTAGTATGGGTGTACTTATACGTCATAGAACAGGAAAAATAATTATATTTCTAAAACCAATATTTTCCAAACAAAAAACAAACAACTTCATTATAGGAAAAGATAACAACCAACACAAAGGAATATATATATATATATATATATATATATATATATATATATATATATATATATATATATATATATATATATATATATATATGCTTATGTCAATTTTACCTCATGTCTATTGTACTTAAGCTTCTGAAGTGTAAGATTGAAAAAGAGTTGTCTTAATTTTACAGGAAAAGATAACAACCAACACAAAGGCTCTTGCATCTTTTTCAGCATGTAATTAGGGGATGATTTAACCTAATATATGAATCTCATCTTTCACAACAGTTAATTCCCTTTCACAACAGGTAATTTGGGGAGGGGCCCATGGGCCTGGTGTATTGGGCCCTCATGTGGGCCCCATGGCATTCGATTCCTTCCAGACGTTTTGTTATACATGTAAAAAGAAACTGTATATGTCATGAAAAGAGATTGATACTTATTTATATTTAAGCTAAGAAGACACAAGAACTTATTTGTGGACAGATGATGCACTAGATTTATCAGGTTTTATTTCATGTTTTAACATCCTCACCATAAGCTAATCAATTACTCAATAGATGTCTATTTCTTTCTATAACAGCACACATCAGCCCATTGTATGAACTATTTAAACATCTGTAGCCTCTAAAACTTTTTCATTATCTGATCACACATTAGTGAACCTATGAAAACCTGTGATGGTATATGGTCAAATAGCATAATCAAATATCAATACTAAGCCAAAGCACTATGGGTAAAGAGAATTCCAGCAACTCAAGACATGATTTCTTAATTTTAAACTCCACCAAAAACAAATGATCAAAATATTTTACGTACAAAACACATAGCAGTTTTTGCAATAAAACTATAGCTTACCTGAGTGGATAAAGAGCAAGAGTGGGGCTGAATAACACGCAAAATAAAACCCTAAAATAAACATACAAACATAGATTTTTGAGATGAGAAATAAAAATGAGAAAAGACGACTAACGAAATCTTTGAAGATAATGAAAGCGATTCTCAGACTCCTAATCTTTCACCGCCATTGTCGTTTTCCAGCTGTCATTGACGACGAATTCCTTAGGCATCGATTATATGTGATTTCCCCAAAGAACTCCCTCGATCTCAAGGGTTGGACCCTGGTAGGAGACATCACTTTTTCTGTATTCTTAATCGGTTCATCTTTCCTTTCTGAACACTGATTATGGTGTGAATGAAACTATTGAAACCAAGTTCATGTAAAATTTGAGGTTCTTTTGTAAAGAATATGACTGAAAGTATTGAATCGGTTCATTCTTTGTGTTGTTTCTTAGTAATCATGGGAAGATGGTCGAGGAGTGTTAGGTTTAGAGAGAGATATAAAGAAAGAGAGCTTGTAGAGTAAGGCTGGGAGATTTTTGTTTAGAGAAAGAAAGGTCGTGGGTGTAGTTTGTTAGTAGCTGAAGATGGGTATGAGATGGCGTGAGAAGAAGGGAAACGGGCGAAGAAGTCAAAGAAAGCACTGCATCTTGATGTGCTCTTATACAGAGTTCTATTAAACATCTAGAAAAGAATCAATGGGACTATACTTGCAACTTGTTGTGTGCAAAAAAGACATGAATGCCCCCATCTCATCATCAATAATGTTAATAGATATATAGGTGATTGCGAGCTAAACGCGTTAATAATGTGAAGTAATTCATCATGAACAACAAATACTTCAATTTGAGAAACATATATTAGTATTGGAAACTAGAAACCGGATCTGATAAAGGGAGGGAGGATGCAGCTTATGTTCTGTGGAAATTATGTTGTCACAGTGAAGATATCTATGCATGTGTTGAAAGTGCTGAAGCATTTCCTGTTTTCCTATGGTTCTTGAAAACTGGTGGAACAAAGGGACAAGAAGCCTCATGGAAGGCACTAAGAAAGCTTATACGCATGGAAGATGCTGCCACTATTAATCAGCAACTAGCTCTACTTTGGGGGGACACCCCAAAATCAAAAGCCCACAAAATTGAAGTACTAGGTCATGTGTTTACCATGGCATCACATTATGACCTTGTTCAAAAAGGATCAGATGCTTATAAATGGTTGAGATCGCTTGTTCAGATTCTTAATTCTTCAAATGAGGAAACACAGGAACATGTAGCTTCTGTCTTGGCTGATCTCTTCAGCATTCGTCAAGATATATGTGATAGTCTTGCAACTGATGAGGTTGTGCATCCTTGATGAAGCTTTTAACAAGCAACACTCAAATTATTGCCACTCAATCAGCTCGGGCCTTGGGTGCTTTGTCCAAGAACAAAATCTCTTATATTGTAGAAGGGGATGTGAAGCCTCTGATCAAATTAGCCAAAACATCATCTTCCATTGATGCTGCAGAGACTGCTGTATCTGCATTAGCCAAAGTGAAGCGACTCCTCCTGCCAACTAAGCTTTCCGGTAGTATCAATGATGGCAAGAAAATTGCCAAAACCGATGATTTCACCTAATCCAACATATTGTGTGTTTCTTTTTCATCCCCTTTCCCGTTTCCATGTGTCTTTGTTCCTAGTTAACCCTAGTCGATTATTTCACCTAATCACACATCATTGATTATTAGTTTCACCAAATATCGGAAGTTTGTTCCTTCGATCGTAAATGAAATAGAGAGAAATTAAGCCGGAAATAAAAAGAGATTTAGCAAAGCTAGGGTTCTTATAGAAGAATGAAAACATTGAGAAGTTTGAATCAAGAAAAACATACCTTAATAAGACATAGGGCTTGTAAATTTGAGTAATAGAAGCAATGACCCTAAGGTCACCGGACCTAATGTTGTTGGCAAGGGCAGGCGAGGTGAGATTACCGGAGATGAGGGGCTCCATCGGCTGGGTGACGCTGGAAAGCGTTGGACGGTGGGGCGGGGCTAGACGGAGGTCAGAGGTGGGAGGCGCCAACACCAAGAGAAACGTCGGAGATGGGAGAAGCTGTCGACATCGAGAACTGAGAAGAAGAGAAAGGGTTTGTCAAAGTGAGAAGGAGAGAAAGGGAAGTTGAAGAGAGAACGAGCAGTACAGGAGGGCATAATCGGGGCAAGTTCTTGAAAAAAGCCCTAGCTACTAGGGAAATTAAAGTGGAGGGAGAAAAAAAGGAAGGCAGGGATTTTAAGTTTTTGGGATTTCATTTTCCCCGGATGGAACGCGCGCGTTCTATTAAAATTTATAAAGCGATAGTCGTAGACGACACGCAGGTGCCCTACGTGTTTTTATTTTTTTTGTTTACACACTAATTTTAGGGCACGCAAAAATGCGCGTCTGAAATCCTTTAAATTTTGGAAGAGATGACATTATTTTTTAGACACTCACCTTTGCGTATCACAAATCACCGCGTGTCATGGTTCGCGCATCATAAAAGGCTATTTTTCTAGTAGTGATTTGATTTGACATCATCCGTTTATTGGGATTCCGCACCATCAAATGGATCTGATTGATACACAAGCAGATCAGGGACTTACATCGATAAATCTTAAGGTGTTGTAACTTTTTATCGATTGATAATTCATTAGATGCCTTATTTATACTAATGTTTTCAAAGGTGAATATATGTTACTTATTAAGTAGTTGAATGTGAATAACACCTTCTACATGTAATTTCATGAGAGTGTGCATGTTAAAATAGAAGGTTTTTGGATGTTGACCACTGTTGGGATGTTAAAAGTTAAAACGGCAACATGATTTTAGTTGTTGAACACTAACATCAAGGAACCATACATTAATTCCCTCATGCTCACACATGGCTGTTGGAATCCAATATTCCAGCAATCTTGTGTAGTCACAATTAAGTACCATTTATATAGAGCAGGTAAACCATGGTTTGATTATTTTAATAATGTTTTGGGAGCTCAAATAGAATATGTCATTGATTTCACTTTGTTGATATGTATATCTCATCGACCTTTTAGAAATGGTTTGACCATTTCTTGACAGTTTGTGCATTTCTGAACGGTTCGGCTATTTCCTGATGGTTCGGTCATTTTTGGATGGTTCTACCATTTTTGGATGGTTCGGCCATTTCTTAAAGGTTCAGTCATTCCCGGACGGTTCGGCCGTTTTTAGATGGTTCAGCCATTTCTTAAACGATTAAGCTATTTCCTGACGGTTCGACCATTTTTCCTATGGTACGAAGGCATATTATCAGACTTCGGTTTGTTGGTAGTGGCTGTTCCAGGCACATGATAGGGGACATCTCTCAACTGTAAAACACTCAGAAAATTGTTTGAGAGTATGTGTCCTTTGCGGGAAAGGAAAGAAAGGAAGAAAGGAAAGGATCACATAGGGTTTGTGCTTAATGACATGAAGAATTTTCGGATTTGTTATGAGATTATGCGTACTGTTCTCAGACCTTCCGGATGCAAATTCAATAGGTAACTTATAGTTTGATTTTTCTTCTCGATACTCCTGAGCTTATCTTACACTGTTTCATTTTGAAGACAATTATTTTCTTTCTTATAGTTTTTCTCTGGTAGGTATTGTTTGGGAAGTGATATCAAGAATGTGATAAGAGCAGTCTAAAACATGTGTAAAGGACTGAATCTGAATCGTCTACACTCTGTGATCAATGTGCTGGTAGGCACAAAGGATTTGACAGTGTGGATTTAGATAGGATTGTTTGGACTGACCATAAGACACTCGGGTAGATTGAGTAGTGAGATAAACATGGGAAGCTATAGGATACACTAAATTAATACGCATCTAGAAGTGTGGCTTAACTTTTCCTTAATGAACGGACTAATGTCCTTAATTCTGGTTCTGATAGGGCGACTGGGGGGTTCTGATAAAGTAGGCCTATAGAAATTATTTTCTTGCTTTCTATTTGTTAGTTATATGTTGCTTCCTCTATGTGATTGGAATAGATTCGACCTGGATTGCAACATATGCAACTCTAATTATACGCACCTCCTTATCTATGAAATTCTTTCTGTTTGTTAGCCATATATTGTCCCCACTGCGTGATCGAAAGATCCGACCTATGACACAACATATGCAACATTCTACCTCTCAATCCCTCTATCCATGGTAGTCATATGTTGCCCCCTCTACATGATTGAAAGAGATCCGACCTGGGGACACAACATATGCATCTATCTCTAAAACTGTCTTCCTCCTCAATAATTGTTTACTCACCTAAAGTAAGGAGTTTTTTGGAAGTTCATGATAACCAAGGTATATTGGGAAGTGGGGAACACATTCTAGTGTAACTAAACTTGAACCATTTAGAGGTTGTCTGTAGATCTCGCTACTTAATTTAAGTGGACAACAATACCCGTGGTAGTCATCAGCTAAATGGTATATTTGGAAAAGTTTGTCAAAATTCTTTGTGTTTAAGTGGGCAACAATACCGGCAACTGACCAAATCTATTCATAAAGGTGAAGGTACTGATAAAAAAAGTTAAGACTGTCTCATAACTTTGATCCCAATTATTTTTGTTTTTGTTAAATTTGCTCATAGTTTTCCTCTATGCACAAATTTAGTGGGAGAATTAAAAAAACAAAAATCAGAAAATTATAAAGCCAAAAATAGTGTTATTTATGTTTTATTTCTTGTTCAGAAAATATGAAAAATCCAAAAAAATTGTTTTAAAGTTTTTCTTTTAGATTTGTTGTGTCTTGAAAAGTGAATTCAGGTGTAGATGAAACTCATGAAGTCTATGTCAAAAATTTATGAGCCGAAGCTTCATCCGTGATCATTGAAGAATTCTCATTCGAAGGAGCAAGAAATGAATATTATTCTTTTAACATTCAATCCTTCAACCCCAGAAGCAAAGTGAAGCTGCAATTGAAGATTATGTGACGGGTTCATTGAAACCTCCTCAATCAGTCTTCTTCTATCTATGAACCTGTTGAAGTGATCCAGAAGATTAGTTCTCTCTATTATTCTCTCTGAAAGTTCTCAAGTTGAATGCGCTATTTTTCAAGAATCTTATCAAAAAGCCTCCTCACCCAATGTGCGTTCAGAGTCAAATTTTGAAGAAAAGCCCAATTGCTCGAGATGAAGTCATTTATTGAAGATTCGTATGTTCATCTTGAAGTCGTGAAGATATCAAAGATTAAAGCTGAAGTCAAACTCCAAATGGAGATTGACAAGAAAAGCCAACTACCTTTTTAGGGGGAGTTTGTTAGGCCAATTAGAAAAGAAAGCTATAAACTAAGGGGGAGATTGTTGGGTCTAAAACTATGGTTTATACTTTGCTTTTCTAGGAGTATGTATTTTCATGTCTAGGACCATAAACAGCTCAGTGTTTACGGCTAAATGTGTGTTTACGGCTGTGTGTACGGTCGTACACAGGTTTACAACCGTAAACCCGTGTACGGCCAACTATCTCATATATATAGGGTAAGGAGTGCTTGACAAAAGGGGGATAGAGAAGGATTGTATATTGTAGAGAGAGAATCTAGAGAGAAGATTAGTATGTGAGAGAAAATCTAATGTGTATGAAGCATCACTCATATCTTTGAATACATCATAGATTCAAGTTATTCTTCTTCTCCTTCTCTTCTATTTTGATCTGGCATCATCCGTTTGATTGAGATTCCGCACCATCAAACGTATCTGATTGATATACAAGCAGATTGGGGACTTACAGAGAAGAAACATCCTTGTTACTTTACCGATGTGCGACTTTTGTGCAGATAGAAATGAATATGCATACCACATTTTAACCTCCTGTAGCCTGGCGAAGGAGATCTTATTTACGGTGCTCAACTGGTGTGGAATTATCCCCCGAATATTCTCTCGAGTCAATAAGGTGCTAGCTTTTGCCAGGATCGGGGGACATTGTCCAAAGAAGAAAGAGACCCTTACTTGTATTCTATACGGAACTATTTGGAGCTTGTGGAAGGCTAGGAATGATTGGATTTTTAGAGGCAAGTCATCGAAACCCGCAAAAATTGTGGACTTTATCAAAGCCACAGTATTTACATGGAGAAAATACATGAAAAAACATGAGACGAAATGGATTGGGATAAGTGGTGTGCTACACATCTAAATTGTACATAATGTATGCTTTCTTCTCTAAAGATTAATCTTTGTACTTCTGGCCCTTAGTATCTTGCTAGGGTGCATCTTTAATAAAATTTTCGCTTAAATACAAACTTAGTTCAAAGTATAGATAAATGTACCATCACTAAATCTCACACTACTAGAAAAAGACTTTTCTTGACAGACGAATTACGACATACAGCAGTTCTATGACAGGCACTAAAGTCTGTCATAAAATTTATGTCATATATTGTAAAATTTCAATGAATCACGACACACAGAAATGTCGGTCATTAATTTATGTCGTATTTTAAAGAATAAATTAAATTGCTTTTTATCCTTTAATATTACAAGAAAAAGTTAAAATTAAAAGGATACATAATGTAACTTAATATAAAAATGTTTTTGAAAATTAAAATTCAATCCAAAGAAATATAGGAATAATTAAAAAATTTAAGATAATATAGAATAATATATTATATAGATATTATCTTAGATGGATATATAATTTTAATACAGGGTATTTTTGATAAAGTTTGCTAGAAGCTATATAGTCGTTATTTGTTCAAAGATGCAAGGAAGAAAAAAAAAGTTGTACATTTTAATTATAGTTGTCGGTGACTATCTTGACTATGTAAGGAGAATGCTACGAGTGCCATCCTATATATGGATAAAATGACTATCTATTTAAAATATGTAAAACGAAAAAAGGTACTATGAAAATGGAGGATGGTCCATAAGTTGTCTAAATTGTATTGAAATCCTTTAATATATATCCAACACAGTCAACTAAATAAAAAGTTACATTTTTTTACATCGAACCTGTATTGATCCATTACTTAACTCTTTTAACAATGAACACATAAATATTCCAAAAAAAGATATGACTTATAAAATAAAGGACTAAACTTGGGTCACCATGAAATTCACGTTTGCAACTCATATTTCCATAGACCATATATCTTCCTTTGAAGAATATATAATATCTCAAGGGACTGAAAAGGGAATAAAAGAGAAATAAAAGGGTAGTATTGTACATTGTAAGATTGGTGGGGCTTCTTATTGTAACAATTCACTGGAAAGCTCAGACACTGTGATACCCTCAAATCTCGTATTACCATTCAAAATCACCTCACCATTTCCATCAAATCAAAGAAAGCATCGATCGATCAGGGTTGCCCCACTCAAGAAATCAACTCGTTGCCTTGCTATTTCCATCCTCGTTTACCACTCGCCGACTTTCCACTACCCCACCGGTTACACCATTGTCATTCCTTCCACCGATTCGTGAATCACAAAGGCTTTTGCTTTACAGTCTGAGTAAGAATCATAAACAATGGAGGTTATCGTACCTATTTCTGATAACGGGAAGGCTCACATCGATATCTTGCTTTTTAACCGTTGGACCTACGATGATGTTCAGCTTATCTTCTTAACCGATTAATCCAAATTCACCGGTATCAGTAGATTTTTGTTTGTGTAAAGTGTTTTAGTATCTGTGCTTCCTGTTAATTTCTTCAATGGTTGTGTGAAATTAAGCTCAATGTATTGTGATTCTAGCTTATGAACATCAATCTTGATCTGGTTGATTTAGAATGATATGCGAATTCTGTAAACAGGTTCCTGATCTTTCTGTACTACTACTGCATCAAAGCACCAAATCTACATGCCTCACACAACTGGAAGGTACCAAGCAAGGAGGTTCAGGAAGGCTCAATGCCTAATTGTGGAGCGATTAACCAACTCTGTCATGATTCATGGTAGAAACAATGATAAAAATCTCGTGGTTGTTTGCATATTCAAACACGCAATGGAAATGATCCATCTGTTAACCGATGCTAATCCCATTCAAATCATCATAGATGTTGTCATCAACAGGTACACAATCAATCACCTTCTACAATTTCACTCTACTTCTTTTCAACCATCCTTACATTTCCAGTAGTATCTCGGACTGTGATGAAGCAATGGATAATTTTTCATCTCTGATTACTCAGAAAACTCATGTTGATATGAGTAATAATAGAGCTAGATTGGAGATACTCCTTAATTTTGTTAATATGGATATTAGTTACTACTAACACATACTTTGTTTTGGAATATGCAATTAGTGTTTTTACTTATTAGCTTTCCTAATTTAATGCAACCTGACATTTGACATTTCTTACAGATTATGGATTTGTAGTCAATTCAAAGGTGAAGATAATCCATGTGACTAGAGTAAGTGACATGGATCCTTAGTTCCTTACAAATGGTCTAAATCAAAATGGAGATGCATAATGGTACTTCACATGTCAACCTCATAACTAGTTTTATTATTTTATACTTTCATTCTTTAAATTTCAAACCCATTTCAACAGGTGAGGTGGGACGAAGATGTTGGTAACAACAATCATGAATGAATCTCTCAATGAGAGATTGATCTTTTGGGTGTATCTGTCCCACTTTTAAGCATTCATCCTTCTCTAAGATTCAAAAAACTCCGGTCCTCTGCAACTGACATAGGTCCTCTGCAACATTAAAACCAATATTAAAATTAGTGTAAACTGTTTTAATCATATTTATTATACTATTTGAAGAAGTAGGTTTTTGCAATTGACAGAGGTCCTCTGCAACATTCAAGTCTTTACAAAAGTGATGCCTTCTCTTTTTGCTCCAAACTTTGAAGACCTCTTTACAAACACTTCATATGCATATCAAGTCAAATCTCTAAAACTTGAGATCCTCTCTTCCATTGCTACAGATGAATCAATCTCAATTATCCTTCAAGAATTGCAAGTAGTTTTATTAATATATTTTAAAAAAAGATTGGATTGAATATAAGTTGGGATCCAAAACCATCGATTTATGTTTGAATATTCTATAGTGCATTGAAAATCTCAATTCTCACACTCCATTTTTGCCTTAATAGTTTCATATCCGGCTCCATAATCCCTTATTTCTTCTTCTCCCTCTTAATTCTCAGCGCAGAAAAGAAAATAGTACTTGTTTGGTGGCACTGGGAACAGATGATGGTGAAGTCTTCACCATTAATGCCACTTTTGTAGAGTTAAAATGGAAATCTTTTGTACACTATCATAGGTATGCTAGGAAAAATAATAAGATGATATGATCATAAATTTTCAGATTATTGATGGAACAACATGCGAAATGAACTCTGAAACTGGTGAACTGTTAAAAGAAATGAAAATCTCAAATAAACTTATCTCTTCATCTGTATATATTTTTTTGGCGAGTCTTCCCAACACATGGTCCTTAAATTGTCTAAACTTTTTTCTTCTAACGTTTCTTTTCTTGTAATGATAGATGATAAAATATTAGCTGCATCAAATACTAAGATCAGAGTTCTCACCTTAGATGATGGAAACGAACTACTTAAGTTTTCCACAGATGTTGTATGTTCCTACCTTTTGTATGCACATTTTTAAAGTGATTACTGCAGTTCTGATGATTTTTTTTTACTTTTCTTTAGGGTCCTGTGAATCATATGTTTATGTTGGATGATACAAACACCATAATTACAAATGTATTTGGTGACAAGAATCTGCATGTATGGAAAAATGGATAAAGTCAACAAGCATTAGCCGCAGGAGACTATGCATCGAGTACAATTATTCCAGCTTTTAAAGTTGTGACTGACATATTAAATGTTGCAAAAGATTTGATTGATTTATCGAAATCTCAATAATACCCATTACATGCTTCCATCAACCCCACGAGCAATGTTGGAGGCATTGGGTGGCTCTACTGGACCTGATGTTGTCATTGCTACAAAAAGAATGTTGCCCTTTTGACTGCCCGAGACCCCTCTGCTATTCCTTATATTTTTCGTGTTTCTGCTGCCCTTTAATATCCTGCAGGTGTGTGTGCGTGTGTGTGCGTGTGTTTGTGTGTGTGTTAGAGTGATGTGAAATTACTAAAATACCCTTGGTTAATTTTAGGGTTGGAAGGTCCGGATGCTGACTTAGCATCGGTGTTGGAATCGATGGAATTCTGTTTGAAGTTGCGGGGTTAAGAAGTTGTGTTTTGGAGGACTTAGCTAAAGTTATCAATTTGGTGCATATCAGGAGGGATCTTGTGGAAAGTGGTCACAAGTTGCTAAACCATGCTTATCACAATCTACAAGAATACAAAAGGTATGAGGGTGGAACTAGAATCTGTGATTCCGACGGAATTGGAATATGTGATTCCATTCCAATGCCAAATAAACAGAGTTTAATTCTATCTGAAGGTGGAACCATAATCAGTGATTCTGATGGAATCGGAATCGGTGATTATGATGGAATCAGAATCTATGATTCCATTCCACTGCCAAATCAGCGAAATTTAATTATATTGAAGGTGGAACTAGAATCAACGATTACAATAGAATTGGAATTAGTGATTCCGACAGAACCAAAACCTTACAAAATTCAAATGAAAACCAAAATTTCAAGAGAACCTTTTGACATTATGGTTAGTGTAATGGAATGTATTTTTGTATATGTATGATATCTTATTTTGCATTATTAGACATTAAATGTGTAATTTAGTTTGTTTAATATATGGTACAAATTAAGAATATATATATATATATATATATATATATATATATATATATATAGCGCCATGACATACAAAATGTCGTAAAACTATGTCAAAAATCATGTCGTATAGAATGTCATAAATGTTTGTCATAATTGCAAGAATGTTACAAATTACGACATACAAAGCCAATCGTAAATGTATCTCGAAAATGTGTGTCGTGTATGTATGTTGTAATTATGGGTCATAAATGTCTGTCGCAAAATTTATGACAGGCCAAATGCCTGTCATTATCCTTTATGACATGGCTTTCTTGTCTGTCATGTATAGGCATTTACAACAAGGAAAGCTATTTTTCTAGTAGTGTCAATTAACAACACATTAATGCACAACTCAACCCAACATAACTTGATGCTATAAAAACAGAAATTAAAACATCGTTGGGACATTCTTTACATCATGTAATTATTTTACGCATGCATGCATTAATTACTTGTACATTTCCATATTTACTCATTTTTGAGTGTTCAACTTCACCTCCAACAAACGTGCAATGTATTATTTTCTGAAATGATATTTCATGTTGAAACAAGCACCCAAGCGTTGCGGTCACCTCTTAACATCTTTAACAAACCGTCACGACAAATGCAAAATCATTTTCTGTTTCCATAAAAGTCGCCAAGATTCAAAGAACCCTATAAAATTAAGGGCTCGACAAAAATAATTGAATACTTACTAATGAAAAACTTTATTTAAACTTTTTTTTCCATAGTATATTCTTCATCAATATTTATATTTTACTTTTATATTATGAAGATACATGAATGGGAGAAACATTTACACGAGTCGGGCATATTTTGCTTTTCATAAAGTGTACCCTGAAATCTTCCTACCTCTTTAACTAATCTTTGTACAAAATGAAATAAAAAATCTATTTTGATTGATTTAATCGCGACTACCACTTGTTAATCTAAGAGGGACAAGTTAGGCATGGATCCTTTGTAGCATTCATTATCATTTAATTTAGTTGAAGAAAGATATTATTTTATGAATATTGATGAAAAACATGACAAATGGTTATGTGTGGGTTAGCCCACAGAATATTTTTTAGGGAGATATGAAAGCAACAAATGATAATGAAGATAGAGATGGGCATGTTATCTATGAACCTTATTAAACCCTAATTAGAGACCACTATTCTAGAACTATCTAGTTATGCTTTGACAGACATATTTAGGCTATGGTTATGTTTCAGTAATATTTTATACGTATACATTACCAGAAATATATAAACGATGAACAATTATTTTAGATTTAAAATGATGTAAAGATTTTTTAAACAGTGTGCAAAAACATATAATTGACATATTATAATCACCCCATAAACCATATATGATAATATAGACGATTATTAGTCATTGTTTTAGATATGGTTTATTTTTTTAAACGTGAACGAAAGGCCAGCAAGAAATAAATTAGCGTTTAGTCGATGCATTTTAGCTCTTCCGAATCTTAAAGGCCCATAGACAATAAAAAAGAAGTTATAAAAGTAAAAATTGTTGCTATTAGCATAAAACAAGAGAAAATACAATTACTTTTGTTTTTAGCATACATCATGCATATTAAAAAACTATATTTTAAATTCTTCCAAAAGAATATTCTTGGGAGGATTATTAGAAGAAATAAACTAGAGAAAAATAATCAATAATTATTATATAAAGTCTAGTAAATCTTTTTAGAGATTATTTGGAAGATAAGTTGCTTTAAAATATACAAACAACAAAAGTGAAGGCTTCAAAAGTCAAGACTCACTCATGACTTATGATGCTTGAAAAGAAACACATAAAATCAAATAACAAAAAAGGACTTTGTGGCACGTTTCGACAAAATTACATGAGTGCTCCGTTTGGACTATTACAACTTATATATGTTTGGTCTAGGGATGAGTATTTGGTTTGATAGAACCAGATTGGATTCAAAAAGAAAATCTGAACCGGCTCCACCAAAATTAAATATTATCATAATGGTTCCTTGTTTCAAGATATTTATTTTTTCGGTTTTCAATAATTCAATTTCCGAGTCTGGAACCGAAATCAGTTCTCGAAACAAATATTTTGTGACCTAAACCCGGTTTTGGAATCGATACCTCCTTAATTGGTTCGACTCTCGGTCTTATATATATTTTTTTTTTTGCATTTCGGTTCTCGAGTATTTGGTTCACGTTTTGAGTCAGAAATAATGTTCATCCCTAGTTTGGTCATTGTAGTTTGTAACGTTACCTATTGGCATTTTATACATATAAATGACATATTGTAGTTTGTAACCTTACTCATTTGTCGCACAAAAAGATAGTACAAGGTATGCAGAGTCGATTCATATGAACACGGACTAATGGTATATACCAATTTGCATAATGAACATTTTTCTATAATAATAAACAAATAACAAAATGGGTTGTTTATAAACTAAAATCAAGAAATAAATAGAAACAACATAAAACATATTCAAATTCTAAAGAAACCAATAAGTAAAAGCGATCAAGTATTGTGTTGACTTTTCTAATTATGTAGATTAATCAAGAACTAATACCAAGGCGTAATCTACCTATGTTGATACAAGAAGATACTTACAAAATATAATAGAACACCAAAAGAAATCCTCCTACATTGCTTCGTTCAAACTCATTAATAGAACACATAGGCGTAATCTACCTATGTTGTTTCGTTCAAACTCATTAAGCTCCTCCTGCATTGCTTACACCCAATCAGAATGATCAAGAGAAATCCTAACATTTTTGGGTTCAATCTTGGAGATAAATGAATTAAATATGCAAAATTCCACTTTGGAGAATAGTGCAGTTTGCTTTGCCTTCTGTTGTGCTCTCGTAAGAACTCTTGAGGAAACTTCTCCGATCACTTGCTTTTTTGGATGATCTCTGGTCCATTTTGCTATTGGAGGGAAGTTCGGAACGTAGGATGGATCTAGTTCTGCATTCACTTCTTCAAATTCTGAATGAACATCCAAATCATTATTGGTATTCACATTCTCCCCCTCAAATGATGGATTCTGACCTTCTTGCGAAATTGGATTCTCCCCCTCGAACGGAGGTTCTAATATGATTTCCGGGACTTCATGCTCCCTCTGAATAACTATGCCAGATGAAGATGTTGGCGTGAAACCCTCCCCCTGCGGTGAAGCATTTGCAGCTTGTGGTTAAGATGGAATGTTAGAGTATTTCAGAGTGGGTGGCTCGTGTTCCATATCTTTTGCATCGTCATCAATAATCTTCTTTAGCTCGTCCTCCATGTTATCTGCTGCCTTGGATTCCAAAGTGATTGCTTCCTCTGGCTCATCAAATAAATTCAAAAACTATACATACAAATCAGAAAGAGGAATGGTCATTGGATTCTTTACTAGAAAAATATCCTCGGATTATTGATTCGTTGTTTGGAACTTCTTTAAATAATTGTCATCAAAAGTGATATAATAGGTCTCTTCTATTTGTCGTGACTTTTTGTTGAGAACCCTGTATCACTTCAAAGTCAGAGAGTACCCCAAGAAAATTCCTTCATCTGCTTTCACAACACATGTGTTCCTTTGCTCTTTTTAATTGAAGAGAAAACACCTAGAACAAAAAAGATGAATAGACTTAACGTTAGGTTTTATTTTATTCAGAATTTCATAAGCGGTAATGGAGAATTGTATATTAAGGAGGGATCCATTATGAGTATAACAAGCTGTTCTGTTTGCTTCTGCCCAAAAATAAAGCAGCAGGTTCGCAAATGATAACACGGTCCTCGCATCTTCATATAGAGAGCAGTTTCGCCTTTCGACAACCCCGTTCTGCTGAGGAGTGTAAGGAGCGAGAAGTTGTGAGAAACTCCCTTTCGGTCAACATTCCAGACAAGCTTTCACAGTTGAAGCTCAATCATCTTAATAAAGTCCTGAAGCTTGGAAGTGGCTTCAGATTTCTACTTAAAAAATGAACCCACGTAAATTTGGAAAAATCATCAATAATAACTAAAATATACTTGTTACCACCAATGCTCTCGATATCCAATAGACCATAGAGATCTATGTGTAAAAGCTCAAGTGGCTCGATCACTTTGGCGTTTATGGTTGTTAAATGACTTTTCCTGCTCGGCTTCCCTAGTTTGCAGGTGGCACAAAGATGATCCTTCTAAAACTTCAGAAATGGGACCCCTCACACACGATCACCAAGTATGAGTTTGTTGATGTCTTTGAAGTTGAGATGTGAGAGCCTTTGGTGCCAAAGCCAACTATCATCCGAAAATGCTTTCGTAAGTAGGAAAAGGGTTGTCTTTCCTTTGATGGGGTTTAGATTAAGTGGATACATCTCACCTTTTCGCTTGGACTTCAGCAACATTGTTTTGGATTTCTTTTCAATTATCTCAGATCCCTCATCTTTGAATGATACTTTCAAGCTAATACCTATAACTAGTTTAGAAACATTAATTAAGTTGTGTTGTACGCCTTCTACATAGGCAACCTTACGATTGGAGAATTCCCTGCTCGTAATCATTCTGTATCCCTTGATTTCTCCGAGTGAATTATTTTCCATACTTGACACTTCCTCCATCTTTTAACGCTCTATATTCCCTTAGCTCTTCCTTTCTCCCTATCATGTGACGCGAGCAGCTACTATCAATGTACCATTCGGAGTCAAACTGATTGTCATGAATTACCTGCAACATCAGAGAGATTTAGAAACCCAAAGTTGTTTGGGTCCATGTGATACTTTCGTAGATACAGGAAATGTAATTGCTTCATCAACCAAATAAGATCTTTTAACCAGGTTTGAATTCTCTCTTTTTGTTATTTTAAAAACAATAATCCTATTATCTTTAGGATCCTGTTTAAAAGAAGTTATTCTTTGTTTACTTTTGATTTGTCGTTTGACAACTTCTTTCTCAACCTTCTTTTGCTACTTTTGCACATGTGTTTCATATTGTTGTAAAATTGTGTTAGACTCCGAAACAAGTTTTTTCATGCCCTTAACATCTTTCGATGTGTTGGCTGGTTTTGAAATTTTAGATTTTGGAGCAAATTTGGGTTTTGTCTTCTCCAAAGGTTTCGCTAGTTTTGAAAATGTGGGTTTTTGAAAAACTTTTGTTTTTGAAACCTGTGGAACCGAATATTGAGTATTTGAAAAAAAAATTAGAATTCGAATTTGAGGAGACATTCACACTTGGTTTAGCAGATTTTTCTTGATAAACGAAGTTGGAGTTTTTAGAACTCCAGAAATGCTTTCTTTCTTTTAGATTTTTGTGGTATCTAGCATTTCGTTGATGTTTTTGACCAACAAGTTTGTCAACAGACTTATGAACACTAGGCCTAAGTTTGACTTTTCTGAAAGAGGTTTTAGCCTGTTCGGACGATGTTTCAGTTGGAAAAACTTTGGTTTCACTTAGATTTCCTTTCTCGTAGGTGGAATTGACCTTTTTCAGTGGTTCAGCCACATATCTGCCCTTTGTTTTCCAAGAGGTCAACTCTAAAAGACCTTTGGTTTCATCAGTATTATCAATAATTGGAGCGGACCAAAAGAATTCATCACATCCATCAGCAATGTCATCTTCTACAAGGGACGTTAGTTCACTGG